GGTCCGCCCGGCCGCGACGCGGCGACCCTGGGTCCGGGGGTCAGCGCGCGCCGCAGGACGCAGGGGTCCCGAGGACCGGAGTGGAACCGACAGGTGGGGGAGCCGGTCCCAGCACGCGGGGCTCGGCTGGCGGGGCGGGAGGGAGCCGATCCGGGCTCCGGGGTCTGCGAGCGCGGGTCGGTGCCGGCTGGCGGGGTTCCCAATGAGGGACCCCACTGAGCGCCCCTCGCCGCCCGCCCCAGGTGCGATCCGGAGCCATGGTGATCATGTCGAACTTGAACGCGGCCGCCGGCCAGGGCCAGCAGAAAACCCTCCGCGTGGGCTTCTACGACGTGGAGCGTACCCTAGGCAAAGGCAATTTCGCGGTGGTGAAGCTGGCCCGGCATCGAGTCACCAAAACGCAGGTGCCTGGGGCGACCGGGACCCGGAGGGAGGGCACGGGGGCAGGAGCCTGACCCCGAGGCTGGACTCAGGCAGATTAGGGCTTGCTGTCATCCTGTGAACGCAGACTGGTTTGGGCTTAGTAAAGAAAAAATGCTTTGCGTTACGTTTGTGCGTAATTTGTGCAAATATTAGAGAAAGGCAACGAGAATAATGAACGAAAAAATCCCCCAAAGCCAAACAACCGAAGCGCTCTGGTTCCTGGACGAAGAGCTAAAGCCCTGTAGAATGAGCTTACAAGTACTTAAAACATTCCTTTATCTTTGATTCCTTTAAATAATATTTGTGGTTACTTTGGTTAATTTTTCCCCCAACTTTTTGTGACCTTTTGGAGACGTAAAGTGAGAATTTTAACTTGGAAAAAATGAAATGTGTAAGTGAGATTCTTTTTTTTAAACAAAATATACCTTTTGTTTTAAACATCTCTAGGTTGCAATAAAAATAATTGATAAAACACGATTAGATCCAAGCAACTTGGATAAAATCTACCGTGAGGTCCAGCTGATGAAGCTGCTGAACCATCCGCATATAATCAGACTGTACCAGGTGAGGCTGGCCCTACTGTGTGCGTGTGTGTGTGCGCGTATGTGTACATGGCATGCCTGCAGGTAGTCCTGTGGCACAGTGCTGTGCCCCACCCCCAGGTCTGCCCTTGCTGAAGGGTAGTCCTCCTGTGCATTTGTGGCATCAGCATGCAGGTTGTAGGAGGTAAATAGACTGATTTTTGTAAGCTGTACGGACGTGTTTACAATCATTGTCTTGCTTTGGGATCATAATTGAGATTGGCTTCATTAAAGTTGTGTGGTATTGTAATTTGTTCCAGTTTCAAATTCATAGCCGGCTGTTGTTGGGGCGCCTTTCTGTGGAGCACACCCACGTGGGTAGCGGCGCCTCGGGTCGGGCACTTGGTGCAGAAGGCCAAACTTGAGCAAAACTAGACGCTTCTCGCCTTTACATACAGTTGTCAAACTTCAAAACGGCCGCTGCTACCAGTTTTCATTAACTTCTGAGGCAGCAGAGAGCACTTGCCTTCCCTTTTTAACTCTCTCGTGCAGAGGGGAGGGATAGGAATGCTTTGACCACAGGGAGGGTTAGGAACATGCCTCGCCCTGTCCATCTGTTGATTGATTCCATGACTTCGGGCTCTCAAGTCACAGTTAACATACTAATTGCATCTCTGGGGAGTAAGTCATTAGCCCAGCGGGGAATCTTTTTCTCTTATGTCCCATCCGTCAGTGAGCCCTTGGGTCTGTTGAGGAGTGAATTCTTTGTCAGTGCTTCCCTTTCCATGTGCTTGTGTTGGATGTCCATTCCCTCGGTGACTCTCACAGAGTCACGTGGATCTGAGCTGATTCTGGAAGACGCGTGTGTGCTGTTGGGAAGGGGACGAATGCAGCGCAGTGGGAGAGGGAATTGTAATTTAAAATTATCCGCTGGCAGGCTCTTCTGCTCAGTTCAAATGAAGCAGACGTGTCGCTGGAGCGCCTGCTCCCCCTGCCACGACAGTCCACCCCGCACATCTACACACAGCTCAGGCCTGTGTGCTCAGGGTTTGTGGCTGGGTCTTTTTCAAGTTGTGCTTGGAGATAAGAGGAGAGAAGACGCTTCCTCGGCGGCCACTGCGTCTGTGCCTGGGCCGTGTCCTCCCCGACCCTGGCTGGGGAGCAGGCCCACTGCTTTGTGTCTGGCTGCAAAGGGCAGCCCGTTAGCACTTTCCTTTTCTCCCTGCTTTTCCGCTTTGCTTTGCGCGGGCGGAGCGGGCTCTGGGAGGGAGACGCATTGCCGCTGTGGGTGATGCCAGAGGTCCCTCGGGGAGGCGGGTGTGCTCGCTGCTGCCGGAGGTGACTCTCGGCTGTCGCCGGATTGGGTGGGATGTGACGGCTGTGAGTCCTCTGCTTTCGACACTGTTGGTGTCTCATGCTGGTTCAGCTGGCGCCGGCCCCAGAACCTTGCAAAGACGCTTCATCCTTCCGTTGAAGTTTTCAAAAGTTAAAATACACAGGTTCTTCCTTTTTCTCCTTCTGTTCCTCTCCGCTGAGAAAAGGAATGAGCGGTCTTCAGGGGCAGTTTAAAAATCTGGCTACGTTGTGAGAATTCTAGTAACATCTTCTCACTAGATTTATGACTCTAAGCAGTTGTCTTTAAGATGTCTTTTTAGCTGGCAGTGTGGCGCAGTGGTAGAGCGTGTGCTTAGCGGGTACAAGGCCCTGGGTTCAGTCCCCAGCACCAACAAAACAAAATGTCTTTTTAAAGGAATAACCACACTTTGAACCCCCAAAAATCTTTTTTACAAGATTTCTGTCATCTTATTCCATCATATAAATTCCGTAAATGTATTCTCTCTCCCTCTCAAATATTTTACAATACACAGAGGAGTTTGTTTTCCTTCTGTTCAGTACCAAAGATTGGGATTTTCCCTTGTTTGTTATATTTTACCTTTTTTTTTTAAGAGAACATAAAATTCTCGATCGATGAATAAACTTTCCAGGAGGATATTGACCTCGACTGTTACTACTGACCCCTGCCGAGTGATTTGCTGTTCAGACCCGTGCGTGGTAGCTTACCTGGTGAAGCTGTTTTCTCACAGCCTGTACCCTGCCAGCAAGTGGGAATGGGGTGTTTGTTAGCATTCTGTTTGTTGTGGCCAGTGGCTCAAATCCCCCGTAGTCTGTGCTGGCGTCCTGTGCAAGGTGCGAGGGACTCAAGCGTCCCTAGCCTGCAGAGCCCCTGAGAGCCGCACTAACAGCCCTAGTTAATAGACGTGCGGGAGGACTCGGAAGCAGGTCGACTTCATTTAGGGCAGAGGTGTGTCAGGATGGGCAGCTCCGGGAGCAGCGCACCTCTTATTTTTGAAAAGCTCCCTCTCTGGGTAGGAATCCCCGTATTGTTTATGTGTCATGGGAGCTTTCTTCCTTTTCCTTTTCACTGGTGGACATGCACTTCCTGGAGAAGTTACAGGTTTACCAGGGTTCACGTGGATGATTTACACCCTTGGAATGTATGTTCCTTTCCCATGTGATTAAATGTTAGTTTTTTTTTGTTTTTTTTTTAGGTTATGGAAACAAAGGATATGCTTTACATTGTGACTGAATTTGCAAAAAATGGAGAAATGTTCGGTAAGCCGTGCTCACTTTTAGTGTCTATTGGAAGCAACAGTGCTGACCTGTTGGGACCTGCTCACCCGCCCTGAGTCCGCACATCCCTCCCGCCCTGCAGCCCAGGTGGTGCCGGGCTTTGCATCCAGGAGTAGAGCTTGGTTTTGTCGCTCCTCAGATTACCTGACCGCCAACGGGCACTTAAGTGAGAACGAAGCGAGGAAGAAGTTCTGGCAGATCCTGTCGGCCGTGGAGTACTGCCACAACCACCACATCGTGCACCGGGACCTCAAGACGGAGAACCTGCTGCTGGACGGCAACATGGACGTCAAGCTGGCAGGCAAGGAGGGGCGTAGTGGGGCCGTGGCGTCGGGACTGGCAGCAGGCCCTCGAGCTTTCCGTGCACCCAGAGCTACAGCTCCGGCCACTTCCAGGCTAACTCTGTCCGTCCGTTTCTTTACACCACAGATTTTGGATTTGGGAACTTCTACAAGCCTGGAGAGCCTCTGGCTACGTGGTGCGGGAGCCCCCCGTATGCAGCCCCCGAAGTCTTTGAGGGGAAGGAGTACGAAGGCCCCCAGCTGGACATCTGGGTAGGAGCTGGGTGCTGCCCCTCTGCCCGCACCCACAGCCCCGAGCCTGCTGGGCGCTGACCCCGCTGTTCGGTTATTGACAGAGCCTCGGTGTTGTGCTCTACGTCCTCGTCTGCGGTTCTCTTCCTTTCGACGGACCCAATCTGCCCACGCTGAGGCAGCGGGTGCTGGAGGGCCGGTTCCGAATCCCCTTCTTCATGTCTCAAGGTGGGTGGCGCTGAGCCTGCCGTAGGCACTGCTGGGTGAGCCCACTGGAGGCTGGGAGGGGACAAGGGACAGGGCTCTGCGGTGCCTGCGTGGCGACCTGGGACTCGGCCCAGGTGACTGGGCTCCAAGAGAAACTTGACCCCCAGGTGCCTTCTCAGTGCCCTACTTAGAGGATGGCAGGTGCCCTCGCTCTGCTGGTGCCTCCTGAGAGCCACTTCTCTGTCATAAGGATGCCCGACCCGTGGCCTGTCCTTGTGCGTGTCACACCAGGGTAGGGTGTGTCTCACACCTTCAGAAGGACCGGCCAGCAGATGTCTTCCCTGGGGCCAGTCCCCGCTCGGTGGCTATGCACAGTGGTACAGGCGGTGGCCGCGGCCTGGGCCTTCTGCAGGGCGTCACGCACACGCGCATGCAGGTGGCCTGTGCGCAGGAGCCCGCCGTGCCGGGGCTCAGTGGGTGCCGTGTCCTCCCCAGACTGCGAGATGCTCATCCGCCGCATGCTGGTGGTGGACCCTGCCAAGCGCATCACCGTCGCCCAGATCTGGCAGCACCGCTGGATGCAGGCCGACCCCACGCTCCTGCAGCAGGCTGACGCCTCCCTCTCCATACTCAGCTACACCTCCAACCTGGGCAACTACAACGAGCAGGCGCTGGGTATCATGCAGGCCCTCGGCATCGACCGGCAGAGGACCGTGGAGGTGAGCGTGGCCGTGCAGGCTAATTTAAGAGCCAGGCTATTGTTCCTCCCGGGCCTGACCCGGGAATGCCTTTACCAGGGAGCCCCGGTGGCTACAGACGTGGCCATGGGCACCTCGTAACCGCCCCCTGTTTTCTCCACAGTCGCTGCAGAATAGCAGCTATAACCACTTCGCCGCCATATACTACCTCCTGCTCGAGCGCCTCAAGGAGCACCGGGGCACCCAACCGCTGGCCCGCCCCGTGCCCAGCCGGCAGCCCTGGCCCAGGAGCCCGGACCTCGGTGGTCTGGAGGTGAGTGCAGACTCCTGCAGCCACGCCTTGCTCGGTCTGTTCTGCTAGCGGGGTCGCCCTTGCTCGGGCAGGGGAGTGAGGCTCAGATGTACCTCGTCCTTGGGTGAACCCTCAGTGAGGCAGCAGACCACAGGGCAGCGGGAGAAGCGGGTGCTGGCTGCCCCGTTTGGCAGTGCTGCCCATTGCCTGCCTGTTCTAGCGCCAGCATTTCAGGGCTCCCTGGCCTCCCGTGCGTACCTGCGTGTGGCTATGGAGAGGCCGCAGGTCCTGAACCCATCGCCTGGCATTTGTCACGGCATCCTGAAGCTGGCTTGGTCATTCCGGTGCCCCCAGCAATCATCACTGGCATGGCCTCCCTGATGGTGTCACTCCTTTGGCTCCAGGTGCCTCAGGAAGGCCTCCACTGCGACCCTTTCCGGGCCTCCCTGCTGTGCCCACAGCCCCAGGCCTTGGCACAGTCTGTCCTGCAGGCTGAGATGGACTGCGACCTGCATAGCTCGCTGCAGGTGCGTGACCGTCCCCAGCGCCCCTCCTGCCCAGTGCACCTGCACTTGCGGGGCCTGGGCAGTCATCGGTTTGTGTCCTTCCCCTGCAGCCCCTGTTCTTCCTGGCGGACGCCAGCTGCAACAGCGTGTCCCCACACCGCTCCATCTCCCCCAGCAGCCTGCTGGACACAGCCATCAGCGAGGAGGCCGCGCAGGCACCCATCCTGGAGGAGGAGCCTGAGGCTCCGGAGCCCCCTCGCAGCGGCACGGGCCGCAGGCACACGCTGGCCGAGGTCTCCACACACTTCTCTCCATTCACCCCTCCCTGTAAGTGTTCCCAAGGGCCCAGTGCCTGGGCTGAGATGGACCTTCGTGCCTCCCCGAGACCACATGGCACAGCAGGACATGCACTTGCTCACTTTGGTGGAAGGGGTGGGCCCAGCCCCAGGCTCCCTCATTTGAGTCTGCGTCCATGGATCACCTGCTACCTGCACTTGCACCCACAGGCTGGCCTGCGGCGTCTCTGGGCTCTGGTGGCCCGGAGCGGTCACTAGACACACGCTGCGGGCCTCGGTCAAGCCTATGGTTGCTCATACCCACCAGCACCCCAGACGCTCCGGGGCCTATTCCCCGTACCCTTCTGTAGCTGTGCAGGCGGGGCTGCCCTCACAAGCCTCTCCCTCCACAGGCATCATTGTGTCCTCCTCCTCCACATGCGCCTCGGAAGGAACCAGCTCTGACAGCTGTCTGACTTTCTCCGCGGGCGAAGGCCCTGCTGGGCTCGGCAGCGGCCTGGCCACCCAGGGGCTGCTGGGCACCTGCTCCCCAGTCAGACTGGCCTCGCCTTTCCTGGGGGCGCAGTCAGCCACCCCTGTGCTGCAGGCTCAAGGGGGCCTGGGCGGAGCTGTCCTGCTGCCTGTCAGCTTCCAGGAGGGACGGAGGGCGTCAGACACCTCGCTGACTCAAGGTGAGGTCCCCGCCACACTTCCCCCTTCCTAGGAATGCATCTCTCCCTGGCGAGATACCTGCCTCAGGAGCGGGAGTTTACCCATTCTCTACTGGTGCTGCTGCTGGAATGGCTGGGGGTGCCACCCGGGCCCTGGGCATCCTGACTACTGGGGTGGACCAAACCACAGCCCCCGAGCACAGCTAGTGACCTCGGTTGGGCGAGAGCGCAGGGATGGCTGTTCTGAGCGGTGGCTCCTGTCCTGCAGAAGCGTTGAGGTCAGGGAGGGGCCCCCCACAAAGCATCCCCACCCTGAGCTGGCCGCCTAGCCTCCCCCTGTGCCACTCCAGGGCTCTGGGTACCATATGCCCTCTAAGTCCATGCAGAGTCCCGTGCATAGCTCATACCCCGTTCCGTAAAGAACCTGTCCCTACAGCAGCTCCTCAGGGTTGGATCCGTTGTCCCCAGCCTCAGGAGGTGGCCAGCAACCCAAGCATGTGACAGCATTAGAAGAGCTTCAGTGACAGTGCTGCCACCCTTTCAGGAAAGCGGGATGGTGGAATGGGTGCCAGGCCCACGTGTGTGGCCTGTCCTGTCCTCCGTCCCCTGACCCCTTTGACCCTGCTCTTGCTTTGCAGGGCTGAAGGCCTTCCGGCAGCAGCTGAGAAAAAACGCGCGGACCAAAGGCTTCCTAGGGCTCAACAAGATCAAGGGGCTGGCGCGCCAGGTGTGCCAGGCATCCTCCAGTCGAGTGTCCCGGGGCGGCCTGAGCTCCTTCCACGCCCCCACCCCAAGTTCGGGCCTACAGGGTGGCAGCTCTGGCAGCCGAGAGGGCAGAGGCCTGCTGGAGGAGGTGCTGCACCAGCAGAGGTAGGCCCCGAGGGTCCTCTCCGCCCAGTACCCGAGTCCTGGGGCCCGAGGCATGATCGCCACGTACACACTGGTCCTTTGGAGCCAGTGAGTGGGTGGAGGGCGGTGGCGAACCTGTCTGGTGGCCTCTGCAAATCGTCACTGAAACATGGCGGGATGGCTCAGGGGTTGCCACCCACGGACACACGGGTGGATCTGATCTAAGCCCTGTCCCTCTGTCCCTCAGGCTGCTCCAGTTACAGCACCACCCGGATGCCGCCCCCAGCTGCCCCCTGGCCCCACAGCCACCCTCTACTCCCACCCCTGCCCCCGCCCCCGCCCCTGCCCCATACATGCTGGCCCCCTGCGACAGCCTGTTCATGTCAGGGCTGCCACTGCTGCCAGCGCCCAACCTGCAGACCGGAGCGTCCCCGGTGGTGTCGGCCGCGCAGCTCCTGGACACCCACCTGCACATCAGCACCAGTCCCACCACCCTCCCCAGCAGGGCCCTGGCACCCTGCTTCGCCAGGCTGGCCCCGGGCTGCGACCCTGCTGGGCGGCTGCAGGGGGACTGCGAGATGGAGGACCTGACCTCGGGCCCTAGGGGGACGTTCGTCCTGGTGCAGTGAGGAGGACAGCCCCGCCGCGTCCAGCTGGCGCTTCCAAGCAATAATTTCGGAGTACGTGAGGATGTTTTGGGACTCAAAAGCCAAGAACTTTCCAGAAGCAAAACAAGCAATACGTTAGGTGTGTGGGCTTTTTAGTTTGTTTTTTTGTTTTACTTTTTTCCTTGCACTGAATGACCTCAACTCCGAGTAGAGACTGGAAGCTGAAGAGAAATAATGGTGGGCATGTCATGCAGGTGGGTGGCGGGGGGGAGTGGGGCGAGGGAGGGCCTCTGGCTGCGAGGGCGGGTGACAGGGCAGCGGCTTGGGCCCCTTGTCTACAGCTGTGTCAGGAGCTGACACAGGGCCTAGGGCGTCCCTGGTAACGTCTGGAACGGCCGAGTGCGTGCGTGGGTCAGTATCCTTTCGGTTTTAGTTGATGGTTCTCCACTTCGGGAAACATTTATGCTTCAATGGAAACTGTGAACTTGCTGCTTCACATGTGGGTTGGCACCATTCGGGGCTGCCCAGGAAGGGGGCACGGATCGCCGGCACAGAGGCAGGCTCGGCTCGCTTGAGGCGGGGAGCTGTGCGCGCAGCTCAGGAGTCCGTTTTCCAGCGCTGTTCGGAGGAACCGCAGGAGGGCCCAGGGGCAGCGTCCATGGCTGGGGCTCGGTCCCAGGAGCGCTTGGCCAAGAGGAAGCCAGGAGCTTTCTTCCTGCTGCTCATCTCGTTCCCGCTGCTAATTAGTGCGTTTTTATGCATTTCATTATCAGGGTCCAACCAGAACACCTGACCTGGGGGTGGTGGGCGTGGTGCTTCAGGCCATGACAGGCGGCGCGCGGGTGGGGGCGGCGGTGGCTCCTCACTGTGACCGCCACCCGGGACTTCCCGGTGACACAGGCCTGGCAGCCAGGCCCTGGCACTCGTGCTGGGCATCTGTCTTTCATTCAAAGAAGATGCTAAGGGAAGCTTAGGTCAGTGTTTGTAAAGCTGTGTCTCTTTTTTTAAGCAAATACTGTATATGTATATAAATAGGAGAGCATAGACACTACTTATTTTTTATATTTTGTACTACACTTTTGTGTTCCTTGTTTAAACCTCCCTCGGTCACCCAGGGGGAGCATCCTGGCAGCACCAGGTTTGCTGCGGAAGGGGCCCAGCCACCCCTCAGCACTGGCGAGACATAGGGCAGGGGCAGAGGCCACCACTGCGTCCCACCTTCTGTGCGCCAAGTGCCCACCCCTTCCTCGCCCAGGTGCCTTTGCTTCCCGTGGCTCTAGCAGCCTGCAGTATTACACAGGGGCCACTGAGAAAGGGGCAAAGGCGGGACTTCTCAAAAGCCAAAGATTGACCGAGTCACCTGAAGGCAGGAAGGACGCCCACGCGTGTCGGTGTTTTGGTGGGTGCCCCCCTTCTGTGCATGTGCTGAGCTCCATGCTGCTCTGTGACTGCTGCTGTGCTCTGTGGCTGCTTAGGGACGGGCGAAGGACTGTCCTCGCTGGCGGACCTGGCACCCGGCCGCAGAGAAAACACCAAAGTCCCCTGCCTGCCACCTCTGGACGTCCCTGGCTGCAGGAGGCGGCTGGCCTGACCTGCTCTCGCGGGAGACCTGGGCCAGCCCCTGTCCCCACACCCCAGTCTTCACACCGCAGATCAAAGGCCTTGTGCCACCCTGTGTTTCTCTCTGAAGCAGCAACAAGCACTTTACTTTCCTAGCGGTTTTTGTTTTTTCTTAGCACTGTAGACCTCTTTGGGAGGATGGGAAGGCCGTGTTTTTATTTCTCGTTTTTTTAGGTGTGTGCGGTGTTTTGTAGATTTCTCAACAGCGCTGTTCTGCAGACTCCTGCAATAGCCTATTTAAAGACACTACGTGATCTGGTTGAGATGTATATATATTTTTTTTTACCATACCTGAATTGTTTTGTTTCATATGTTACCATGAGAGATGTATGCCAAATGATTAGCTGATGTATGTTTTTTTAATTTAATATTTAAATAAACTATTTGGGGGAAAAGACTTGGACGCTTTCCCTGGATTCATCTGTCTGGAAGCGCCATCCTTCGAGCCACATCTTGAAGAGACCACAGCCTGTGGTCCACTGAGGTCCCAGATCTTCAAGACGGCGCAGCGACAGCTTTATGCTGGCCTCACCACACGAACCAGTCACTCCTGGCTGCCGTGGACCAGACTAGGCCAAGGGCACCGCAGCCCCTCCCCAGCCCTGGGGAGCCCTGCACCTGCCTGGTGGCCCTAATGCCCATCTGTGTGGCACTGGCTATTCCAGTGCCACCGGCCCTATTCGCCCTATTCCTTTCATGGAAAGGTTCCCTGAATCCGCAGCAAAATCTAGGATTTGGCAGAATTATACCAGAACTTTTTCCTGGGTCTTTGAAAGTTTGTACCTTCCAGCCAGCGGGCAGACACACCCTCTTAAATAGTCTTCGGTTCCTTCTGGTTAAAAAAAAGCTTTTCAACTCTTCCTACCCAGTAGGTGCCTGTCACCAAAACGGCCCTGTGTGAGCCCCAGGAAACAGCGCGCAGGTCCTTAGGAAATAGGTCGTAGGATTCCCATGTGACACCACGATTCTGCTGCGGGGCCTGTACCCCGCTCCGCCCGAAAGCGGGGTCTCAAAGAGATTAGCACTGGGCATTTGTAGCAGCACGGTTCACGGCAGTCAAAGGGTGGAGGTGACCCAGGCCCCCACTGACGGACCAGAGGGTAGACAACACAGTGTGTGTCCCCATGAAAGAAGCTGACCCTTACATAGTGAACGCACCTAGAGGACACTGTCCAGTGAAGTTAGCCAGGCGTAATGGGACAGATCCGACTTTACTCTCAGGGGACTTAGGGCAGTCAGGTTCCTGGAGACGGAGGGCTGGTATTGGGACGGGAGGGGGATGTTTTCAGGGTCGGTGTCAATCTGGGGGAAGGAAGGGTTGTGGCGATGGACAGAGGCAGTGGCTGCACAGTTACTGAAGGTGAGGACAAGCCACCATCGGGGACAAAGCTCTGCCAGGGTTGCTTCAGCAACACAGAATACGTGGCAGGGTCATGGAACTGGTGGTGCACATGGAACAGCATCCCTGGTTGTCCCAGCCCTTCAGGGTGGCCTTTGTAGGGGCAGAATTACATCTCGAGTGGAGTGTCTGCCTGTGGCTGGGCGTGGCTCAATGGCCCGAGAGCCCCTCCCTGGACAGAAAGACCAGACCTCACTCACGGCCGAGAAGGCTCAGCCAGTCCCAAGCAGAGCTGCGGTTGTCCTGCAGACACCAGCTCCGGAGAGCTGCCTGACGCAGGGTGTCCGCTCGGTGTCCAAAGCTGACATGCCCAGTACCTGTGGGAGGCTGTGTTCAGGAAGAACCTGTGTATGCCGGGAACACAGCGTTGGCAGCTAGTAAGGTCTCATGCAAAGCCTTGACTTTGTCTCTCCAGGTTTTGCATTTGAGTTTGTCTGTCATGGGTGTCATGCTGAGTCGCACTGGACGGGCATGTGTCTCAGCGGCCAACGAGCTGTGATGCATGTGATGAGGATGACGGTGTGGGGGTGCTTAGAAGTCTCAGCCCAGCCTTTGGAGCCCAGCCCCGGAGGAAGGAGCCTTGCGGGACTTGGAAGGACTCTAGAGTCTGTCCTGGGCTTGATAGAGCCCCTTTCCTTTCCCATCCCTCCAGTGAGGAGCCTGTGGGCCCAGGCCCAGGGCGGGCGAGGTCCTCTGGTATGCGGGTCCCACGCCCGCCCAAGGGTCCCTCCCCAGCCGCACTCATGTCTGTGCTGCCGACTCTTCTCCAGATGTTTACGTGGGGATGTGTCGGCTCCTGTCGGGGACCAACACACCCCAGGCTGCACGGCTACACTTCTGAGCGCTGGGGTGCCCCAGGGCTGCTGAGATTTCCTCCTGATCCTTCTGGCAAGAGTTCAGGTGTGGCCTGGGGCGGCGACAGCTGCCGGGCAAGTGTCTGCATGTGTCCTCACTCATCTGAGTGGAGCCAGGCCTGGCTGGCCCAGCCCAAGGAGTGGCATGGCGACCAAGCAAAGGCATAACAGTCTTTGTGTCACACCTAAATCTATGTCCCAGCTCGGCGACTTCCCAGTCCTGTACTCGGGCCCTGGGCTGCAGCTTCGCGTCCCTCTTTTGGTCTCGAGGTGGAGCCCAGCCTACCCTCGTACTTGGAATTCCTCTGCCTCAACCTCCTGGTGTCAGGATCACAGGCGTCCTGCCACCACACCTAGCCCAATGGTCTGACTTTCCAGATAAGGCATACAACAATGGTGCCCACTTCTGAGGGTCGCTGGACACTGAAGGCCTATGAAACACAGCCCAGTGTCTGGTGCAGAGGGAGCATTCACGCAGACCAGGGTGTCCCCGGGTGTCACGCTCAACAAGAGTGGGACAGAGTACCTGCCAGGACACCGTGTCTTTCAGAGGGCAGGACTGGATGTAGCGGGGCATGCCTCTGCCTCTCCATCAGCCTCAGGAAGGAGCCACTCCGGTGGCCAGCAACACTGTCACCAGGGTTGGGACCACGCGGTTCCCACAGAGCCGTGCAGGGGTGAGAGGGACTTCAGACAGGACACTGGGAGCAGGAACTAAATCTCATGCAGGGGAACTGGCTTGTTGGGGGCAGAACAAAGCGCTAACCTGTTAGTTTTTCTCCCAGAACATCGGCAGGGGTTTGGGGGCACGGCCCTCAGGGGACATGACCTTGATCTCAGGGAATCTGGTGGGGCACAACCTCTACCTAGGGTTATCTTGTGGGGCATGGCCTTGATCTCAGGGCATTTGTGCATACCAGAGGCCCTGGGCGGTGTGTGGTGGAGGTGTCTTGAAGGCCTCTCTGCAGGCCCCAAGGTCAGGCCCTGCATTCTGGGAGAGGAAACAGAAACCAGAAGGGCTGGCATGTGGGCATCTCTGCGGGGAGAGCAGGGCGGGGAGGGCACCCAGTTCACTTTCGGTCTTCAGGGCACAGTTTGCAGTCTCCCTTATTAGCATTATTTCACGTATTTGAATGTGATTTCTGTAAAAAAAAAAAAAAAATCCCCAAGGACTAAAAACCACGCAGGAAGCCCAGAGGAAGCCCTCTGCCTCCCCTTTCGCTGTGAAGAGCTCCGTGGAGGAAGCTCAGGGTTTCCTTTGCAGTCAGAGGGGAAGGTCCGCATCTTCACTGCCCACACGGTCCTTCCTTCCACGGGCGGGAGGCTGGGGACAGGCTCAGGTGGCAGCGGAGACCGAGGCTCCATGCGGGGAAGCTGCCACCCTCAGGAAGGTGGCCCCAGTGCCCTGTGCCAGCAGGACATGCACAGAGTTTTGGCCACAGAACTTAGCAGGGGCAGTGTCTCTGTCACCAGAGCCCTCCCTCTGTCCTTCCACTGTCCCTGGCTGGCATGGGGACCTGCTTCCTGCCCCTGTGGGCTAGTCTGATATGGAAGCACAGTGTGTGCTTTGCGGGTTTGGCTTCTATCACGCGGCTTAACGAGGTGGAGATTCACCCGCGTGTCGCCTGTCACCACCTCTGCTTCTGCTGCCGAGCAGTGCTTGCAGCGTGGGCTGTGGCAGTGTGGACCATGGTGGTGTTCTGTCCACTCCCCTGAGGGTGGGTGGCACCCGCGGTGTAGACGAGTGGTAGTGTGGACACATGGCGGTGTGTCCTGTGGACGTGTGGGCTGCTTCCTGCTTGGGCTGTTGCCCATGATGCTGCTGTGAGTGTCTGCTGACAGGTCTGTGTGGGCACTTTTGTTTCTCCTGAGTCACGGGGGTCAAAGGAGAATGGCTGGATCCTCGGGAATGCCGCCTGCCCACCTGAAGCTGCCAGGCCGTCCTTTGGGCAGCTGCACTGGTTCAAGGCAACTCCGTGCTTCTGGTCCGCACCCTCCCCAGCACTTAGTGGCACAGGTACCCTCATGGTCACTAGTGGGGTCGCCTTGGGCTTCTAACTTGCATTTACTGACATCTTTGAATGGGCTAGTACCATCCTATTTTTCTCATTTGTCTGAGTTTGCATGTCTGTGCGTGCGTGCGTGCGTGCGTGCGTGCGTGCGTGTGTGTGTGTGTGTGTGTGTGTACTGCAGGTTGAACCCAGGACCTTAAACTGTCGCTGAGCATGTGCTATGCCACTGAGATACAGCCTCTGCCCCTTACCAATTTTTGTCTTTTTTGAGACAGGCTCTCACTATGCAGTTCAGGCTGGCCTTGAGCTCCCTTTGTAGCCCAGGCTGGCCTCTGCCTCAGCCTCCTGAGTGCTGGGATTACAGGAGTGCACCACCATGCCCAGCTCACCAATTTTTAATTGGACTGTTTGAGTTATTATTGAGGCGTAGGAGTTCTAGATATAGTCTATCTGGAAATCTCTGTTACAAGGGTATGTTTGTATACACATGTATTTCTACGTACACATGCAGAAAGAGAGCATCTCAATTTATGGCTTGCTTTTCATTTGAAGAATGAAGACTTGAATCTAACCTATGAATTTTTATGAATGCTAAACTTGTCGTTTTATACCTTGACGGTTAGTGCTTTTAGTGTTTACCCATGAAATCTGTGTCTACCTTGGTGTTCTCCAAATTACTTTTGTGTTCTAGGTCCTTTGCATTTCCATAGAGATTTTAGAGCTAGCCTGTCAAATTCTTCACAATGCTTTGAGCTTACATATTTGGGTAGAACTGGTATAATTTCTCCCTTAAACGTTTGATGGAATTCATCACCAAAGGCAGTGGGGGTTGGTGGGAAGGTTTAAATTCCAGATTCAGTGTTTTGAGAATGATTTAAAACTATTGAGATTTCCTATTTTGGTTCTGAGTGAGCTTCCTAAGTTCACGTGGGGGTTAGGGCACCACCAGACTGCCTACCGGTATGGCGTTTTGTAGATTGGTGTTCTTAGAAGATTCATTTTTACGACAATGGCAACAGAAATATGAGACCCTCTAATGAAGCAGGCTCCACTCAAGGGTGTGAAGGTAAGGACACAGCGTGACCCCGCCCCTCGGATGAGATGGGAGTGACGCGTCCTGAAGTCCCAGGCCT